ACACATTGTGAAATATGCAGAGTGTCCAACTTCTCCTGGAGCAATTTACTACTTATTACAGTATGCAACCAGAAGACATCATTTTATTTCATTTTCAACTCTCAGGACTCAGGTACTTGGTGTCCTATTAACAAGACAGCAAAGGCAGTTGCAATGAAACAAGCGACAGAAACATTACCCTATAGTATCTTCTCAGAAACTAGGAGTTCACTGCCTAGTTCCTCTTCTAAGATACTGTTCCTAACAGGCTACAATTGCATTGCTATGAAGTAACACTATGAAAGTGTCACTGAACTTAAAAAAAATTATACTGCAATCCCAACTGTAACACTAAATGTTATCTAGTGATGAAAAACTGTATCAATTAAGGAAGTGCATACAAATATAAACAGGGCGGCCATTGAATCATAAACGGAACACACACCAGGCTTCCATAATAACTGCATGTGAAGGCACTCTACTAACTACTGGAAAATTAGGTAAGCTTTATGACTCAGATAAAACACTCAAAATTTTCACACTCCCAGAATATCAGAGGACATAAATATGTTCTTCAAGAAGTGTTGCCAACTGTGTTAAGAAGGTGTCCTCAGCTTATCCAGGACACTTTCCCAAAAAAAGCTGTAACAAAAACATACAGTAGTGGTGTTTTGAAATGTACTAAACCTCCACAGATAAAAGTGCAAGAATTGGGAAACCCTTTACAGTTGCTTGGAGAGAGGGGAAAAAAAAACAAAAAAACGAACAACCTTCCCCCTCCTCCTGCCACTATCAGTTGGTGGTTTTCTCTATTCAGATCTATTCCTCAGGGACACCTTGCACCCATGCCTCCCCATAAAGCATTAAGAAATACAATAAACATCTGTTACATGTTTGCAGGAGAAGCATGTGCAATGGAGTGTCTTGTTCCGCAATTTTCTTTATAAATCAAGTATACACAGGTGCAAGTAGAGGCAAACAAATATAACGACTGGTAAGAACAAAGCCAGAGAACCACACCTCGCCTAGAGAAGAATGAGGCTTTGTTCCCATCAGCATTTATTCCACTGTCTTGGGTTTATTTTAAAGGCCTGAGCAATATATCAACATGGCAGAAATACTAATCTAAGAGCGTAAAGTGCCACATGACATTACTATGCATCTCTGATCCCAGTCCTGCAGCCGGCTATACGTTGTTCTCTACAGCCTGTGCTGTGTGCTGCTCACCTTTCCATTCAAGTTCCAGTATAAAACAATTGGGGCTGATGTTAGCCTATATGTTCCTCTGCCATCTCTCCAGCCACTGTCCCTCTCACAGCAGCCTCACTCTGATCCAGCACAACGATGGCACATGGGGTCAGTGATAGTTGGGAGGGAAAAGTCTGCGCTGGGACCGGTGGGTATCCCTGTAGTGATTTGTGCTACAATCTCCGTCCTAGGAATCCAACCTCCAGTGAGATCAGGAAAGAAGTAGGTTAAGAAACGTAAAGAGCGAGACCCAAAGCCCTCTGAAATCTCAGTGACCTTCTACTACTGTACCTCCTACCAAGTGCTTTCTTAATATGCTATAACCCTTCTACTCCTTGTTTTCTCTTCCTTCTCTCTGGAAACCTAGGAAGTCTGGTTTCCCGGGAAATCTGACGAAAGTGAAGCACTGGGAGAAGAATCGACTTGCACAATCATCCAGCAGGTCAGTAAGGGAGCCAGAATTAATGCACAAACCAGAATATACCATGTTCATTAGATTTTACCATCTTTTACCAGTTATCTGCTTTGAACATTCGGAAACATAAGGATAAGGCCATAGAACAGGGAGGACCATTGTATACCAGTGCAAAAACTAATGAAAAATATTTTCTGTTTGCAGAGCCCTGGAGACAAAGCCAATAAGTATGAAAAAAATAAAGGACAGGTGCTTCCCATTAGAGCAGCATGCCTGAGTAGGCTGTGTTGAATAGAAATATGCTTATCCAAAAATTTGGATTTTTTTTTTTTTTAAATTTCATGACTATTACTAAGCAAGTCCAGCTTAGTCAACTGTTTTCCTGGCTATCCATTGTATCGTTGTACTCTGTTTTAGGAACTACTGACATACACTAAGCTGACTTATCCAAAAACTGCCAACGGTCACACTCAAAGTAGAGACAGCACAGCAGAGGCAGAGTGGAACCTTACCAAACAAAACCACTCTTATACGGCTGGTCCTAAGTCTCCAAGGCTGTTCACGAGAGGGAAAAACAGAGAGTTATCAGAACTTTAAAGCAACTACACTCTACTAAACTCTCTGAATGCCACAAGAAAGCAAGCATACTCTGTAAAATACATTTTTAGCTATTTTAAACAAAAAGGATCTCCTTCTCCCCAAATCTACCTGGGATAACTTTCCAAAACCCTTAGGAGATCTATTAAAAAGAATGATTGGCTTGTGTGTAACTAGTGACCTTTCAACAAAGGGCCAAGTCCGATATGATGTGGGAGAATTACACAGATAAAACCTCAAAAAGAACACAGAAAAAGGAGTTTGTGTGTTATGTATATATGAGACTTTAATCACATTAGAAATTGGTATAAATAACCCATACACAAAGAAACAACTAACTAAAACACGAGGAAGTTTCAGACCTCAGCCATAATCTATTTTTGTAGCAGAGACACAGATCTAACTGATGCACAATAAACTTGCATACGTTAGCTGTATTATGAAGAAAGAACAACACTTTTATTAACTTACAACCACTTTCCCAGACTTATACTTGCCTATTCAAATGATGTTTACAAGTTCCTTTACACTAAAGGACAGTACATACTCTTTGCACATTGGAATCTGTTCTTAAAACAATAGCTGAAATCAAACTAGCACATAAGCAACAGTACTGTTGTTTTAATAAATAGATATGACTTGGATATACTACATTCTTCAGTTTAGTCTTTGACATAGTGAGCCAATACACTACAAATGCCTGCATATAAATACCTTAAATGTTTTTGAAATCATGCCACCACATATACTTACAAAATGTCAAACTACAGCAAGTTTATAATAATTTAAGAAAAAGCTATCCAGGTAGAAGAAGTGCACGTTTCCAAGGGGTAACAAATACTTTCAGGACTTTTTCACATTTTGATGAATTCATTTATTAGTACCTGTATCATTACATACCTTTTTTGGGTCCCCAAAGATCTATTTCCCTTTGTCTCTAGTTATTCCTTCATTTTTCCCAATTCACTCGAGTGTTTAAAATAAATTAATTAAATAATTTTGCATCCTATAAAACTTACTCACACAAGTCCAGTTTAGCTCTGTAAGTCATTTATGCTATGAAAGAGATAGAATTTGGCCCAAGACAATTCTAAAAGTAAAAACTACTATATTGTCCTGCCTAAACAAAAATACAGCCAAAATATCTTCACAGAACACGTGCATCAGCGATTGTGTTTCTGTAAAGAGCTGTGTATCCAAATCCAGAAGGTAGCTTAGGTCACGCATGTTAACGTCAGCCTGAAAAAACGCCGCAACCTGACAATCAAAGGCAAACTCCACAACTCTCCTAGCTGAGCAAGCTAGTTCAGTAACTTTATCCAACTCGGGCCACCAAGCTAAGAGTGGGGCTTCTTTACTCCACGAGTTCGTGGGGAAGGGGGGCTTTTCCAGTCCGCTGCCGAGCGGCCGGCCA